TTGACGAGGGGCCGCAGATTGAAGTGCTGTACGTCTGAGAGGAAAGGACAGGACATGTTGCCTTCAATTTACAACAAAGGGAGCACTGCTTGCAGGGAAATGAAAAATGGCAGCAGCTTTTCAATTACCTTGCACATTCTCCTATGACTGCAGGTAACTCCCACCCCCCTCCTGATTCAAGCCAGATGCTTGGCAGATGATTTTTCCTCTGACAGACGTTAAGGTCCTGTCCTCTTTGTGTACATTGGAATTACTTGTGGCGTTTGCCACGGCACTGTATTGCTTTGGCTGAATTTTGAGGTTTCATTAGGCTGCACTTTTATTTAAGGTAAGGGCAGCTGTATGATCCTATTTCATTTTATGCAAAGTAGATGTAGCTTTCCCGTTTTCTGGCAAATAGTCAAAACTGCACTTTGTGGACAGATTTCTGGAGCCCCCTCTTTAAAAGCAAGACTAACAGGTGCCTTTCTGAGATAGCGTTGCGCACAAAGAACTGTGTGTGTTTCCTACGCCAGGATGAACATTGTGAGGAAGTGCAAGTTTGCTGAGAAAGGAGTTGGCTCAAAACCTATAGTTTATTTACATATGGAGGTGTGGGAAGGGGAGGTTATAAAGTTGTAGAGAAAGCGAAGCCTGGGATTTCAGATTAAAGCAGCACAGATGTGTGTTGATTTTCATACTTGAAATACTCTCTAAGCAAAGGTGGAACATTTTGCAGAGTTGGATGAAGGCTGATCTGTTGCAAGCTGAGCTCTCCCTGCGTTCAGGAAGATGTGCCCTGTGATATATTACTGCTCAATAAAACACCAGCAGAGACATTCTGCCATTTATCATAATAGGTAAATCCTCCGAGGCTTGTGCTCTGCAATTAGGAGAGTCATATATTTTCATCAAGTTGAGCTTTCATGTAAAGGCCTATCCCACCGACTTCCAGATGTTGTAGCATTAAGCGGGGCGTTGAGGAGTGTTTTTCCACCAGAGGGATTTTCAAGTTGTAGCTGTCACGATTCTTAAGCTCCCCCTCAGCAGTTGTCCAGTTTCCTGGAGGCACTGTCTCTTTAATTGCTAATCAAGTAGTATTTTGGGGTGCAGAGGATAGCAGAGACGTACTGAACAGTAATTGTCCGGGAAGTTATTTCTGCTTCACATGAACATATGGATTTTACAGTGGTTCAGTTATATAATAGCTGGTTTAGAAAAAGAGAGAGTAGAAGAGTTGAGCACGTATGGGCTAGTGGCATATAGAGCTGATGTAGCATCCCCAGATTTGCTCATGGTTTTGAATGTACAATTTGGTAAAGGATATGGGATATCTTTGGTTACACTGGTTAGGGTAAATACATATGAAGGCCATGAAAGGATGAGGTAAGTTCTCAGCTGATTTCTGCAAAGCTGCAAGCTCCGTAGAGCTCACAACCTTCATTTATCTAGTTACAGTTTGAAATAAGCGTTGGAGGAAGAGGCCAAATTTTGCCTCACTGATATCCAAATAATTCCACATATTTTCCACCTGGAGACTTCAGTATGCCCACTGCCTGTGGCTTGGGAGCCTTTGGCTTGCGGTGGTCTGTTTGTGTTTCATTAAAGAGATTTTCACATTGCTCTGTGGCCAGAGCAGCTGTGGATGTTGTCGTCAGTTCTTCAGAGCAAAACGGTGGATGAGTTTCCTTCTTATCTTTCTAGTGTTTTTAGACACTTTGATGATGAACTGAAGTGTTTATCGAACTTAAATTTCTCTCTTCGTATTAACTCTTTCTTCAAATAACGTTTACAGAAAGCCCAAACAGCTGCTGTATTCCATGCAGGAAATATCCGAAGTGACCAGCCAGCCATCAAGAGCTTAATATACCCAGAAGAGTGAGTTTCCCTCTGAGTCAGACGTGCAGCAGATGGCTGGGGAAATGAGGCAAGGAAGCCAAGCGGCGTATCTCTCGAACGGGAGAGGAGCGACTGAGCCATGTAGATTGGACTTGGCTCATTCTGGAGCGTTAGGTTTTTGGCTGAGCTCAACAGCAGATGGGGAGTGACAGTGGGAAGATGAGCTGCTTGTTAACATCAACTTACAGAATGGAATTTCCCCTCAAAGCAAATTAACCCCTTTATTTAAGTAGCTATAGGCTTTCTGCTTAGGTCCGTGCAGTAACAGCCACCGGAAGGAACCTTTAAAAATCCCAACGACTCTGCTGTTTGTATAACATGGCTGCTTACTGACTCTGAACTCCATTAAAACAGCCTCTCGTAACATCTGGGCTTCTATAGCATATAAAAATGTTTTCCTTCTGGCAGCAGTTTTTATGGAGATGTAATAATATACGTTTTGCAAAAAAATAATTCTATTTTCAGATTCTGCTTCTTACCAATGAGCTCGGCCTGTCCAGGTGTGGAGGAGACGCAGTGGGGAGCCTGTGGAAGTAAATGACCCACTGCCAACTCCCCGGCTGCCCCAGATTTGGTCAATTTGCTGATAGTTCCCAAACTCACCGTAACATGTATATGTGTGTTTGCGTAGTTCAGATTTATATTCTCCCTCTACTGCAACTGGATCCGTTCTCCAGGCAGCATGTCTCCATTACATGTAAACAATCTGACTGCAATCTAAAGGAAAAATTAAACGTCCTTGTTCTTTTTCTCCCCCTCTTCTAGGTTATCTTTTGCCTTCAGGGTTCCAACTAAATTACATGCTTCCCCAAGCCTGTTAGAGACTTGGCTTATTAGAAGAAACCTGTAGCTGGCCCAGATTTTTAAACTCTACCCTGAGGGAGGGATATGAACAGATGGATAAGAGAATTCAGTGGGATTAGTAAAACCCTTTGAAGACTGTTCTTCCCACTACATTTTTCTCCCGGTTTTGTTTTCATGCCATCTCAGCACATCTTGTATCAGTTGAGGTTCTTGGGACTGATGTTCATTGTTCAACAGCTTGTCTGCATCTAGCCAGAATTTTCATCTCAAGAACTGGGGAATATGGTCTTTTCCCTGGCACGGATCACGGATGGTCAGCCATGGCCTCTGGATGAACATTATATGGGGGACAGTCAGATGAAACAAAGCAAGTATTGCATTCTGCAGTACTAGCTCCCCATTTTTGATCTTAGTGATGAACAATCTCACTTAGTTCAGGTACCTGTCTCCTGTTCAGATACCACACTAAGAAAGTGGTATCATTATACACTTAAGTTGATCCAACTCTGAATTTCTACTGCAAAAGGCAGTCGTCTTCTTTCCCCCCATACTTACTGCTTTGTACTTCCTTCCTCCTCATAGTTAGGTAAATGTTGGTTCAGCTTTTTGGGCTAAAAAGAAAAAAGAACTACAAACTGTCAAATTTCTCTTTCCATATTATTGCAGTAGTTTAAATCATCACCAGTCTTGCCGGTAGTTGTGGGTTTTGTATTCTCTGCACCTTCCCTCTCTACTGGAAGGTAAATAATGCCTAAGGTGTCTTTTGCCAGGAGATCCTGAAAATGGAGAATGTGCCCCACGTGTGGTCGGAAGTAGCGTTTGAGATGAAGATTAAAAGAAACAGCTGGTTTTGCAGGGATAGTTCACAGCTGTTAAGCTGACAGCACCATTCTTGTGTGCATCTCATCAACAACAACCTTGTTTTCATATCCACATGCTGTGCTACTGTGCTTCTCGTTGTGTTACATGTTCACTACCGTAGATCTCCTGCAGCCACTTAGTAGGTAGGGAATGACAATTTTGTAGTGCCTGTCTACACCAGGGATCTACAGCAGGGTTTTATTTTGATTCATGGTTTTTATTACACTACGTTTCTGTTATCAACATGTGAGCCTTTGTCTAGTTCTGGGAATTTCTCAGTATGTTGCTAGTCTGTTTGCACATTGAAAGAAGTTACTCTAGGGTTTTGAAACCCACTTCTTCCATTCCTTCTCTTGATAAGGAAAGCTGTCATGTGTCTGCCGTCAAATTTCCGTGTTACCAATGGACCTGTGTCTTTCCTTTCTAGATGGAGAAAGATGAGACTGTGAGTGACTCCTCTCCACACATAGCCAATATCGGACGCTTGGTAGAGGTAAGTGCTGTGAAGCCACCACAGCTTGAGCCTGCTGCAGGTTCCCTTGCACATATTGGGTCCCACGGCTAAGAACTTTGTTGTACGCTTGCTTTTGTCTTTACAAACAAGTTACTTATTCATATTGTATCAAGTCGAATCGTGCTAATGTTGCTCAGTGTTTGATGGCTCAGAACTCCTCCTATCATGTCTTCCAACAGTTTGTAGATACAAAAACGCCACTCCGCACTTTGTCTCCTGATCGTTATAGCAATAACCTTCCTGTAAAATAAGGGGTCCTTTTCTCAGAACTAGCTAACAATTTCCTACCCCATGCCTCTATAGTCACTTTTGGGCAGAATTATTTAAAGTCAGGTTGTGTTATACAGAACTGTCCCTTTAACTGAAAGTTCAGTGTGTATCAAGTACTTATTAAAACCACTGGAATTGTTTTTAGTATTTGATTTTATGGCAGCTGTCTGTCATGTATGCTCAGCATGATGAGTGAGGGATGTGATTGCATTAGCCGCTCAGAAGGGCTTTGGTGCAACACTAGTTTGCTGTTTCATTGCACTGCCCTGTATGAAGGTGTTCTTGATTTCCTTGATCTTCATAGCCACTTTGGCAAGAGAGGAGGAAATTCTCAACTAAAATAGACCATAATGCATTTTTTAAAGGAACTGGGAAATGAAAGGAAGGCAGGTACTTCTTTTTTGATCCCTTTTTTAAGTTTTTGGCTTGAGTGAAAGCGACCTAATGAAAAAATGCTGCTTATTTACAAGATCTTTCTCAAAACTGTTTGCCATGCAGTTTTAACGAATGAGCTGCAGCTCAAAAATTCAAAGGAACCCCTAAGCACGAAACTATTGACCTGTTGGTTATGCTAAGTGACTGACTTGCCACTTGTAGTCCGTTCAGTGCCAGGAAATTACAGAGTAAGGCTGGGCTGAAATGCGTTTTCCTTTTCTGCAGCTGAATGCAGAAAAATTGATAGCTGGATAGAAACTGCCCTCTTGTGGTCCAGAACAGCTTTCTCGTGTGCACAGCCGGGAGTAATTAATTTGGAGGAGAGGACAGGAATAGAGCTAAGCCTTTACTGTTTTGATAAGAGCAGAAAGATAGTGTCAGATTGTCTCCTGTAGGAGACAGTTTCTGTAGTAGGAATACGCTGGGTTGAACCATGCTGTGGCAGGTGTTGTGTGTCAAGATGAACACACACGACGCACAGAAGAGTGTTAGCGCACCATTCCTGAAAACAGCCGACATGACCAAAGATCTGGTTTCTTCCTTTTTTCTAGGACATGGAAAACAAAATCAGAAGTACACTGAATGAGATTTATTTTGGAAAAACAAAGGACATCGTTAATGGGCTGAGGTAAGGGGCTCTCCAGCTGACTATTGGACCTCCTTCGCTTCCCTGCGTTCCCCTGCGGTGCCTGTGGTACTGTCCCCAGCCGAGCATTGATCTGCTTTTGTTTGCTGGAACTCCCTTTCCTACACAAAGTCTTTTCATGTCCCTAATTGTTCACCTCACTGTGCTTTGGAAACACTACTTGTTCTGTGGAGTTTAGGGAACGCTTCTACCTTGTAACTATAGAAATTTGAAGCAATGTTTTAATTCCTTGTTCCCTCACCAGGAAGAAAATAGCCCAATTAGCAACACTTGTATTTCAGAATTATTTCTAATTAGGAGTTTTATTCTTCACAGTCCTGAAAGTTGTACTTAAATTCTGACTTCTCTTTCTATTATTCTTAAAAACAGTCAGTTGGTCCCAGAATTAAGTCATGACATTAATGGTTTGCGGTATTAGACTTTGTTTTAAATTCTGTCTTTCTCTCAACACCGCTGGTCAAAATATAGTGTATTAGAACAGATTAAGTGAATAAACCCCCTATGCCTTTCCGTAGGGAAACTGTACTGTACTTTTCAACCCCTGCTCATTTCTGGTCAGGAATTTTACGTAGAAATCCCAAGCTGGTAGTTCTCATGCTCGTAGGGGAAAGTACAGAACTGTGATGCCAAATCATTTCATTTTAAACTGCAGATAGACCTCCTAGCACAGTGTGATAATGTAGAATAAAGAAATGGTGCAAATAAGTATACTGCTGTTCTCTCACATACTGAATGTGAAAGAAGATAGAATAATGGTGCTAATTAAATATTTGTGCTGCCTTCTTAACAGCATGGGCAGAGGGAGTCGACAGCATCTGAGAAAGCAGCTGTTCTGGGATTTTTTTCCAAACCCCAGCTTTCATAACAGGCCTCTATTTTCATTTGTGGTGTGCAGGGGTTTAGCCAGGAAGCATTTATTAACATTAAAAGGAAATATGTAATACAGTCTTTTTCCTTGTGAACATTGCCTTAAGCTTTTGTAATTGAATCTGTTTCCTATGTCTCCCCATTGCTCAGTTTGAGTCATGGTACTTTGTGCATCGGTGAGATGATCTGCTCAGAACGGGTAACATACAGAGCATCTGGCTTTGGCTTTTCCTCTAGCCTTTTTCCTGTTTCTTCTAACCTATGTATTTACACTTATTCTTCCTGAGTGTGCTCCTGGTGGTTTCCAGAATACCAACTCTGTGTTACTGAGTTCTTCTGACTGTTCTTTTCCCTGTTTACTTCCCTCGTTTCTAAACTGCTCTCTGTAGATCTATTGATGCTATCCCCGACAACCAAAAGTATAAGCAGTTGCAGAGGGAGCTTTCTCAAGTGTTGACCCAGCGCCAGATCTACATCCAGCCTGATAACTAAACCAATCCAGGTACCCCTTGCCTGTGAGGTGTGACAACCAGCACTAAACCAGGACTCACCCAGCCAAGACCTCTGCATGATAACTGAGACCAGAACTAACCCCTAACTCCCGCAGACTGATAAATGACATTCCATCCGTGTTTCACCCAAGGGTTATTTCTTAATACGGCCAACTAAATACTGTGATTTTTATTTTAAATGTTACTCCACCCCTTCCCCCCATTTGAAATAGCACGCTCTGCAATGTGGCAGGACTTACCACTTTGCACTCTAACTTGGGAGCAAGAAAGGAGCACGTGGTCACATACCCAAAGTGGTGTTAGCTTGGACTGATTTGAGCCAGAAGCCCCGGGACGCTGTCCCTTGTGCACTAGCAGTTTTTTACAGCTGTGGTACACCACTTCAGTGGAGAAACTCCCTGTAATCTTAGCGTCCTCCCTGCAGACAGGAATGAAATCTTGGAAGTTTGAAAAAAAAAAAAAAAAGACCGGTACTTCCCGTGACTTCTGAGTAAATGTGAGCTCACCCCACATGCACATCCCCTGTTTGCCTGGTATATCTTGAATTTTCTTGGAGCTTGAAATCCAGCCCTGCTCAAGCTCTACTGAAACATTCCTAGCCTCCACTTGCTTGTGCTCTGCACAGCCTCTGAAGGGATTTGTTCATATGCTCTCATTTGCTCTGGAGCTTTGAATGTCTAGGACGCACGGCAGTGACTAACCCTGAGCCAGTTTAACCTTCCACTCCAATTCATAATGAGTTACAGATGTTGTCTTAAACACGTTAAGCTGACGAAGGGGAAAATGCACTGTTTGTTGATAATGGCTGAGAACCACTACTTTAGCCTGTGACAAATGCAAATATAAAATGTATATATTTTTATTAAAGCAGCGGAAGTCTCCCGAGACAAGAGAATGGAAATACTGTTATAAAAATGTTAGGAAAATAACCGATACAAAGAGCAGTCTTGTTTACAGGAGACAGCATCCAGGCAAAATAAGGTAGCTTTGAGTACTGAAAAGGGTGTGAAATACGGTTTGCGTGGGGAGAAATTCTACCAAACTGGATCCTAACCACTTCTCTGTGTTAGCAGCTCCTGAAAAGTCTAGTATTATTATTCTATCAATGATCATATTTAAGAGGATTTTTTTTAAAATTGGAAATCTCTTGTTGTACCATTGAAGATGGAGGTTCCTCCACAGCTGTCTTAGAAGGCAGCAAGACACGATGAGAAAAGATTTAGCTTTTTTTTGTAACCAAACTTTTAGCAAAAGGGAACCCCTGCAATAATCTCGCTGACAGTATCTCTGTTCTTCTTTGGCTGCTTTGATTTGCTGATTACTCTAGGTAAGGTACAAACTGGAAAAGCAAATTCAAGAACAGAAACTCTGGCCGCTTTTCCCACTGGAGGGAAGCTTTGACGCGGCTGCTCGACCCTGGGTGAACAGTCTGCAAAAAGGTTCAGGAGCTCCCCCAGCCCGGCCCTTTTCACGCTCCTGGGTAGAGGCTGGGTTTTCTCTGCCTTCCCGTCGTGGTCACTTGGAGAGCGAGAGCGCTAACACCCTTCGCTGGTGGTACACTGGGGTTTTTCCAATCTGTAACGTAAAAAATTGGGAATCTCCCTCCAGCAACTGGAGGCTGAGTGGAACTTCTCGGGAAGCGTGTCTTTTGGTGCCATCCTTGCTAGAGTGAATTTTGCTTTGATGTACTCACTGAAGTGTTCACTTTGCTTCCTGCTTTCCGTATTAAAACAGGCAAGCTGAGTTTTGTTTCCTCTAAGCCTGGGTTGAGGTGCTTCTCCTTCCTATTGACTCACATGCCAGAAGAACTGTTCAAAATGCCTTCTCTCAAACGCATCGCCTCTGACTTGCGTTTCCTTCTTCCCCACAGGTCTGTGCAGACTTTTGCAGACAAATCAAAACAAGAAGCTCTTAAAAACGACCTGGTGGAGGCTTTGAAGAGAAAGCAGCAAAGTTAAAAATACTCTTCATGCTAACAAGACATGCCATGCACTCGTTAGATTCCTTTCTTAGAAGACTCATCCCCCCCTTGCCCTTTTCTGTTACGTCACGTCACAATTTGCATTCAATACTATCCATGCAACGCCATCTTCTCCCCATGAATAAAGCTGTACAAACTTTTTCAGTCTCTGAGGCCTACTTTGCACCACATTTTACTATTGAGACCTTAGGCTACGTTTCTGTAGAAGTCCATGTATTTTTTTTCCCCCCTCTTCCACCCTCCCCCATTTATATGCATAAACACGGATCATTGTTTGTCTTTTCCTTCCCACCCCCTCCTGCCTTTTGTTACATTGGTGTAAAAAATGTAAAACAAAAATTTATTAAATACTGTGGTGTGTGAAAGAGGAAGAACTGGAAAAAAAAAAAAATCTATTCCACGTATGTTTGGGGCTGGGCACAGGGGATGGCTGGTGGGAGGGAGGGAAGAGAGGGTGTTCCTCGGTGTTGTACTATACTGACTAAACCAGATTTGCAAGGAGAGGTTGATTAGGAGACCTGCTGAAAGTTCTGCTCTTCTATAGCCTGGTTCCAAGGCGCTTTTCTGTCAATTTTTATGGAATGCAAAAGGGGTTTTTGTTTTGATTTTGTTTTTTGTAAAGCTTAAATTGAATCTACATCTGATACTTGAGCCTCCATACTAAAAAAAAAAAAAAAAGAAAAGAAAAAAAAAAACTAAAACAAAAAAATAAAAATAAAAAAAAAATCCCAGGAAGCAGTGTGTGCGGTTGGTGTCCTCCTTATTTCTCTTTCGTTCCTGCAGTGTTACTTGGGGTTTGTGCCGTAAACGCTTTCCTTCGTAGCCACTGGAAGCGATTGCTCTGGCTGTAGGTGGGTAGACGTGTGCTGAGAACAAAGACAAACACCGAGCACATCGGTAATCCAGCAGCCGCTGGATCATATGGCCACAGAAAGCAAGAAAGCTTTTTTTTTTCCTTTTTTTTTTTTTCCCCCTCCCTCTTGCATCCCGATCAGCTGAAACTTGTTTGTTTTAAGGAGGGTGTGATGTACGGCTGCTTTTCACACGCGGAGCATTGCGTAGCTGCGGTACTCACTTGCCTGCTGTACTTCCAAGATGTTGGCATCCCGCTGCACGCTGGGATTGATGCTTCAGGCAGCCAGCAAACGTGGAACAGATGTATTTAGAGGAGAAGGATTAGTCCAGCTTTACTGGGGGTGTTAAAAGTAGTCTGGGGGGGAACCTGTGTGTTGAAACACTCCGGTGGGCAGAGGAGAGGCGATTCGGGCCACTTGGCAATTTGACGTGGATGGTTTCCAACCACCAATGCTCACCCGAAAGTTCCTTCTCTGCTGTGATTTGTGAACCTCATCCAGGCTTTTCCCCTCTAAACCCTCGGTGGTCAGAGGGACCATGCATAGCTTCAGGTCCGCTGCCCACTCCGACGTGCTTTGGTTACAACAAACTCTTAATCCTGGTGAAACTGAGAAAGCAAAGACCTGCTGGGCTCTTCCTGCACGCGGCCATTGGAATTAGCCTTCGGGTGAACCTATGCAAATTGAGACTGTTGGCATTAATATTGATTAACGTGCTCTAATTTTGCTTTTCTAATGTGACCTATTTCACATCCAGACATCTGCAGGTGATTACAGTCCCGTGCCGGAGTATTTACCCGGGGGCCTCCGCTCTGTAATGCAGCCCATATGGGACGCAGGCTGGGGAAAGGCACACACATGCTTCCCTCAAAGCTGGGATCCCCAGGGAACGCGTTCAGATTTTGTCATTGTTGTCTCGGTTCTGTCCAAGGAAGAACCTTTTTTGAAGTTGGAGATAAGTTTGCGTGAACTCTTGAAGCTTGGAAATGGCGTGTGAGCCCAGGAGGGGGGAGGCTCGCGGTTCCTCTCGCCTGTTCCCAATTGTCGCCTGCTAAAGTTTTCGGGGGGTGAGGGGTGGGTTTGTTTTCCTTCTCCAAAGCCATCTCTGCACATGAGCCAAAAATGGAAGTCTCTCATCTCAGATAAATTTCATGAATAGGCTTGGGGTATACAGAGACACCCTCGTTGCTTGTGTGCAGGGATATACGCTTCCCGCAGAGCAGTCGTACAGGTGGGAGCTGCAGGATAGCTGCGACTACAGCGTTTACTCCTCTTCTCACCGCAGCGTAACCTGACGGGTCAGTACTGACCTCCAGCTCTGGCTTGGCTGCTACAGCCCCAGCCTACCACCGAGTTACGTTCTCACTCTCGGACACGCAGTTTCTGGCCCGTGCCTTTTCTGGTTTAACACTTGCCCCTGCAAAATCTTAAATTGCAGGCTCTTTGGGGAAGAGGCTGCATTACAGTCTCAGAGGGATGATAACCTCAGCGAGAGCCTCTTTGCAACACGAATTTCCATCCTCCACCACCTAGACGGCTGCTGGCACATAAACTTTTTTTTTTTTTTTTACCTCCTTATATTAGAGGTGGTTTTTCTGGCTTTAAGAAAAGCTCTTGGCTACCTGGTATGTGGCAATTATCCAGTGTCATGAACCTTCATCTCCGCAAGGGAGGTGTGCCAAATCCCATCCTATCCCCCTGCGTAGGTCAGAACCAACGGTGCCTTCCCCAGCACTGCAGGCTGAGCGAGCAAACGTGAGCCGAGGTTAAAAACCACTCCTTTAATAAAACCAAGCCCCAGGGTCTTTATCTGTAATAAATAGGTATTGAGGTCTAACGAAGCTGTGCTTTCTATCTTGCTAGGAATCTGCTCATGGTTTGTATTAGTACTGGATATGAATTGTTTTTCTGCAGTTCCTAGGGAAAATCCTGTTGGCTCCAGGACGGGGAAGGGGTGAGCAGCCCCATCGCCCACAAGCCTGGAGGGGAAGGATTGTGAATTAATGGAGTGAAAAACCCACCCGCTTTGTTCAAGGGGCTCAGAGAGTCTGAAAAATATTTTTTCTTTCCAAAACCAAATATGTCGGCTCCAAATACTGGCACAGCTTGTGTTTTAATTAATCTGCTGTTGCCGTGTGCTGGGCATCAGTACCCTGACCCCCATTTCACGTGCAATCTAGGCCGAGCTGAGCCGTGGCTTGGCTTCCTCGGTGCGAGGCCGAAGCAGGGAGGAGGGCGACTTTCTTGGGAAGGACAAATGTCATGGGACTGGCTGAGGAATCATGAATTAATGATAGTACGGCTAAAGCCAAAAGGGGCACGGAGTGGGGTGCTGCCGTGGGTGGGCAGCGGGGAAGTGCCGGGGGATGGGAAAGTAGCTGGAGAGGGAGGAGCGGGCAGCAAAAAGAAGAGCTAACAGTGACTGCAGGAAAAGGAAAGTTCTTGTTTTTAAAAGGACAAGTTGTGTTAGCTTTTCCTGAAGGGCCTACAGGCTTTGGTTGATTTTCCTCTTGCTTGCCCAGTGTGAGCTGCTCCTCCC